TTTGGTCATAACTGTAGCCCACTGCAATTCTTTCTTTCTTTCTTTTTTTTTTTTTTTTTTTGGACAGGCAGAGTGGATAGTGAGAGAGAGAGAGACAGAGAGAAAGGTCTTCCTTTTGCCGTTGGTTCACCCTCCAATGGCCGCCGCAGCCAGCGTGCTGATCCACTGATCCGATGGCAGGAGCCAGGTGCTTCTCCTGGTCTCCCATGGGGTGCAGGGCCCAAACACTTGGGCCTTCCTCCACTGCACTCCCGGGCCACAGCAGAGAGCTGGCCTGGAAGAGGGTCAACCGGGAAAGAATCTGGCGCCCCAACGGGGACTAGAACCCGGGGTGCCAGTGCCGCTAGGTGGAGGATTAGCCTATTAAGCCGCGGCGCTGGCCACAACTGCCTATTCTTTAGCTATGAAGTAATTTAAAACCAGCCATGTACCATGGGGAAATGTTTCGAATTAGAAGTCTCCTCAGAATTTAGTGCAGATGGGATCCATCTGAACAAACATCTGATGCTCCAGTGACTGAGCAGGACGTTGGGTCAGATTGGGCACTTGCAGTTTTCCTTATTCATCCCACCACTCAAGGGAGGTTACTGTCTTAAGAGAAAGGGAGGGAGGGAGGAGGTTCAGGCGGCTCAGTGGAGGTGAAACATTAATGTGGAACCAGGTCAGGACAGAGTCTTGCGACTGTAACTGCTGTCACTCAGTGACTTTTAATTCTCAGGGTGCAACTACCCTGAGAATTAAAAGGTTGGAATGTTCCTTTCCCTTGTGGAATAATGCAGTTTAAGAACTCTGAGTGTGTATCCCTCTGAAGATTTCTGACAGCTTGCCTCCCTCGAGGGGAAAACTAAATCGGATTTAGTCTTTGTTCTCTTCTTTGTAAATAAATTCCTCCTTGATAAATAGGGTTGCTGGGCCACAAGCTAACTTGAAAAAGAAGGAACTTGCCAAGAGCATTTCTTCGCATGTGGGTCTCTGTGTCTCCATGCCCTCTCTCTCTTTGCTCCTCCTCTCTCTTCACTCTGCTTCTGATAGAACCCCATCTCTTTCAGATAGAACTCATGCATGTAGCTACTCATTTATTGAAAATATGTTTTCTGAGTGCCCACTGTGTGTCAGGCACTCTTTTCAGTTCTGGCGATGTAATGGCGAATAAAACAGACCAAGTCTCTACCCTCAGGGGCTTTTTTTTCCCCAGAACTCTGAAGTCTGAACCATGGCCCTTGTATTGTTAGCTTTGTAACTTTGGGTAAGTTACTTAGCCTCCTGATGCCTTATTTTCCTCGTTTATAATGGGTATAAAATTGATCCTTTCTCACTTGGCCCTGATTGGATAAATGAGATGATATATGTAGAGCAATCAGAAACAGTGTGAGCGCTTGCTATTGTTTTCGTTGATGCTGGTTCACTTTTATCCCATTCTGGCTCTTGGAGGCGCTTACTGCCTCACCATTTGCTTGGTGACATGAGCGGCCACTTTCATTTAGGTCTTGTTTCCAGGTCCAGGGTTCAGGTAGGAGCCTTCTCTGAAAACACTCAGGGAAGAGAGTCACACTTGTGGCTTCTGTGCCAGGAAATGCCAAGCATTTTAGTGCAGTTTCCCCCTAGTTTTGCCAAGAAAAATGGGACCCAGCACTCTGTGTAGCCAAAGACATCTGAGCAAACTCAGATCAAAATAACTTTGAGTGCTGCTTTTTTAAGTACACAGATCCTTGGCACCGTGGCAAAGTTGAATCTATCATGTTTTCCAGTAGGTAGCCCAGCCTTTCCCCTTCTACACTTGTACTTGTAGTGCACACCCAGAAGGCGGGGAATCTGCTCTGCTGCTGGTACCCCATTTCCTGATACTTTAAAACTCTTTGACTTTGGTTAGTGAGCTAAATAATTTCTAATCATTTTTCAGATATGCCAGATTCCACTCCGGCATTGTCCCTTTGTGTTGTGTAGCTTGCAAATGACTTTCTTGGTAGCTTGGGCCTAACCTGTGTTCTCTTCACACTTCTAATTTTAGGAAAGCACTTTCAGAATCTTACGAAGTCATGTATTGAAAGTTGGCTGCCCTTCAAATATTACTTAATATACAAATATACTTAATATAACTGGTTTAATTCTGCAATTATCACACAGTTATTCTTAAGTGTTGAAAATTAACTGAAATGTGATCCCTGTTAAACATAAGAGTGGGAATAAGAGAGGGAAGAGATGTATAACTTGGGGCATGCTCGGGTTGACTTGCCCCAATTGGTAGAGTTGGAAACATACCAGGGGATTCCAGTTCAATCCCATCAAGGTGGCATGTGCCAATGCCATCTCACTATTCCAAGTGATCAATTTCAGTTCACAATTGATCATAATGAAAGGACTGAGTCAAAGGGAGCACATAAACAAGTCTAGTACCTGCTAACACTAACCGATAGAATAAATAAAGGGGAGAGTGATCCAACATGGGAAGTGAGATACTCAGCAGACTCATAGAATGGCGGATGTCCTAAATAGCACTCTGGCCTCAGAATCAGCCCTAAAGGCACTCGGATCTGGCTGAAAAGCCCATGAGAGTATTTCAGGCATGGAAAGCCAAGACACTCTGGCAAAAAGATCTCTGTGAGTGAGATCCCAGTGGAAAGAACAGGTCTTCAAAGAGGGAGGTGCCTTTCTCTGAAGGGAGGAGAGAACCTCCACTTTGACTATGACCGTGTCTAAACAAGATAAGAGTCGGAGAACTCAAGGGGCTTCCATAGCCTTGGAAACTCATGACTGGAGCATAGGGAGATTACTGATGCCATAAACAGGAGTGTCAATTTGTAAAGTCAACAACAGGAGTCACTGTGCACTTACTCCTCATGTAGGATCTCTGTCCTTAATGTGCTGTACATTGAGGCTTAATGCTATAACGAGTACTCAAACAGTATATTTCACTTTGTGTTTCTATGGGGGTGCAAACGGTTGAAATCTTTACTTAATGTACACTAAACTGATCTTCTGTAAAAAAAAAAAAAAAGAAAAGAAATTATCAATTCCCAACTTGACTCTCACTGGGATTAAACATGACAATAGGTCTGCTCTGATTTCATCATCATTTAAAAAAATCATCTATTATTTTTCACTTTATGTCTCTGTGTGGGAGCAAACTGTTGAAATCCTTACTTAAGGTATACTAAGCTGATCTTCTGTATATTAAGATAATCGAAAATGAACCTTGATGTGAATGGAAGGGGAGAGGGAGTGGGAAAGGGGAGGGTTTTGGGTGGGAGGGACGGTATGGGGGGGGGAAGCCATTGTAATCCATGAGTCGTACTTTGGAAATTTATATTCATTAAATAAAAGATAAAAAAAAATAAATAAATGAAAAAAAAAAGAAAGTTGGCTGCCCTTCAAATATTGGTGACCAGTGAAGACACCACCCCTATAATTTGCATATTCATTAAATCAATGGCAATCTTAAAATGCAAAGAATGTTTAAAGATCTTTTTTAACACAAAGGAAAAGAAAATCCTATTTTTATATTATTCTGTTTTTTGATAAAACTCTCATAGTTTACTCTGAATACAAGTAATCTTATTTACCACAATTGTTATGTTAATGGTTAAATTTTATTGTGTAGACAGTGGTCACTTTAATGAACTGATACTGTTATACAAAAAGTGTCGATTTTTCTTACCCTTAGTTTCTATTTCTAAGCTACTGTTTGTCAAAGTCAGAACAGTCTATTGAGTTCTTGGGTGACAACTTCATCTTTGGTAATCTGAGTGTGAAGCCTTGACAAACGTTTCTTCAGGGGCTTACTTTGGTCGCAGGAGCTATTTTCTTTTATTCACGTGCACATTTACTTCCATCAGTGTTTCTTAAGAGATGGCTCTAGAGCCCATCTCTGTCACCACAGAATATTTATATGACCTTAGGCAGCTCATTTGGCTTCTGAGAATCTTGTTCTCTTCATAAGGTCTGAACAATATTACCTCTACACTCTATTAAAATCTATTTTTTGGGCTGTGCTGAGCCGGCAATCCATATAAGCACTGGCTCCAATCTTGCCTGCTTTATTTACTTCCAATCCAGCTCCCCACTAATGTGCCTGAAAAAGTAGTGATAAGATGGCCTGAGTACTTGGGCCCCTGCACCCACATGGAAGACCTGGAGAAAGCTCCTGCCTCCTAGCTTTGGATTGGCTTAGCTGCGGCTGTTGTGGCCATTTGGGGAGTGAATCAATGGATGGAAGATCTCTCTCTTCCTTGCTCTTTCTCTCTCTCTCTCTCTGAAACTCTTTCAAGTGAATAATAAAATTTTATAAAAAAGGTTTCTTTTTCATAGGAAATATGGTATCTGAGATTTGGTAGCAAAAGTACCAAGGCTTTCTCTGTAAACAAGGAAGAATTCAGTTTCATTACTTTGGGTAAGTAACTGGAAAGACATGAACAATGAAATGCACTTGACATTAAAATTAAATCCACTCTAACTTAATTCTCCTTTGGGGCTTCAGAAGGTGCTCATGGCTGATGGAATGCTGCCAGTGTAGATGGGGAAGCAGCCCTTCATTGGTGCACATGCAGTATTTTACCAGAGTCCCCTGGTATTACCTTGATTTGTTTCTAGTTTTCCAAATAATTCCAATATCAATATATTTTCTTGTCATCTGCTTCTATCTCATGTACAGAACAGAAAGGGAAAAATGATATTCAAGCATTCTGGTTGTCAGAATTTCAATTCAGGCATGAGTTCCATTAATTACTAACTGGTTACTAATTGTACTCACAGAATGGCATTTTTTTCTGATATAAATGCAAGAGAAGATATTGAAAATGTTAATCTTTGGGTCTGAGTATAATAAATTGGAGAGATCTTGCTATGGACCAAAGAGATTGCTGTATATAGGTTGCTAGGGCATGAGGGTTTCATAATAAAATTATTTCATTAAAATTTTTATTAAATAAAAATATCCAATGTCTTTTTGTATCCCTGCTCCCTCCTGTATGATTGACATTGGGAACACTTTGTTAGGTTCTTACCTTGAAGAAGGTCATTGTTGATCCATCTCTGACTGCCCCATATTCTATCTTGGTTTGCTTTGCCAGATCATCTGCTGAGTCTATGGGGGATTCCATTCTCTCTACTGTTAAGAAGGCAGCCAGATTGGCAGTGTAGGATGAAATGATGATTAGGGTGAAAAACCACCAAATTCCTCCAACTATTCTGGTCGATAGAGCTTTGGGCATCAGCTCTGATCCTGCGATGGCATCATCAGAGTAAAGACATTAAATAGAGTTAGAGGAACACCGAAGACTTACAGTTCAATGTTATTCTAGAGAGATAGGCCCTTCAAGGATTTACTGTTTTGCATATTGGTAAAATAAATATGTTTTCTAGAAAATGGAACAAAATCAAGTGGATCCTTTTAAAATAATTAATCATTACTGCTGTTTGAAATGTAGTTTATAGACAGTAGATGCCAATAAAATATTTTTAATCATCAAACATTCTATGTTTAAGAGTTAGTTTCATTTCTTAGAATTGAAAAATCAACCCTAAGATTTTTGATCTTTTATTATTTTCTAAAATGCGTCTGATAGTGTGGAGTAAAATGTTCTAGGTCTTTGCATAACTATGAAAAGCTTTAAAATGTTACCTTTTTTTAAGATTGAAGAACATGAGAAATTTTCAAAAGACTAACATACATGCTATTTATCACAGATACTTCAATAAAACATAGAATTTTACAAATAAAATGAAATAAGATACAGTTATACTTAATAGTTTTAGATGAATCTTTTCTATTTTTCTGTCTGTGTGCTACTTTTAAAGGCACAATTATGTTTTCTATTACAGATTCTTATTTTGCTAAAAAGAATATATTCCCTGAAAAGCATTATTTTTTCCTTAGTTATTTTTAATTATACTTTAGAAAATGACTCCTTAATTGGAAAGAGGCCTTTTCTGGTATGATTACACATTTTAAATATCATTTAGATTACTGATGACTTTTTCAAAAAGTAACATAAAGGCACTTAATGTGCTTACCAAGAAAACCTGCTTCTCCAACTGAAAGGGCTCCTGAATTAAGTTGACTTACACACATCTTGAAAGTGATATAGCTCAATTTTGGTTAAACAGAGCTGTGGATCAAATAGAAATCCAGCAGCAGATTTGGAAGGCCCCAGCACTACGATTTGTGTTTGCTCCAATTATATTGATCCATGAATGGATTGTGGCTAGCCCATTTGTCTGAAATTCACCACTGGTTCTGTACTTAGCATTTCCTGCATGAACCAGGTGGCATGATAGAGTTTATGTCACAGGCTAAAAGTTGGAATAAAAATAACATCAACTTAAAATCTCAAAGAGTAAATATAACAGAGCAAATATCTGATTTAAAGGATCCTTTCAATATGCCATTGGGTATTTCAAAGTTTTGTAGGCAATGATGGTGTAAGATGGAAAGGAAAATCAGAGTTTACCAATCTACAAATAAATGAGTTTACACTCAGGTTTAATCTATACACAGATACACATATTACTCGTGAAATTAAAGCCAGCTCAAGGCTAATGATAAGCAAATCAAGGCTGGCAGAGTCTGGGCTTTGAATTAACAGATACATCCCCCTTGTGCTATGATGCATCTTTGGGCTTTATTCCCATTTAATGAGGTAAATGGTTTGACTGTGGTTTGTGTTTCCTTCTTTTGTTTGTTGATTTGGGTGTGTAATATTACACAGATTTATAATAGTTTCCATTAAATTGCCTCCAAGGATTTAGTGGAATAATTTGTTCTTGTTTTAATCTTGTAGTTTAATGGGATTTATATGCCTTTGGGTGTGTGTGTTTAATGCCCAGGGTTGTTTTATATCTTTCTACTTAATTGATCTAGCAGCCTTATGGCAATATGATATTATTTTTAGATCTTTAGTTAGTTATCATTAAAATACCATTTATTTCATAAAATAACCATGGGAAATAAACAACACAGTTAATAGATATAGTTTGCTTCGTTTATATATGCAGATTTTCTGCAGTAAATTTACTCTTATGCTATTTGATTGCATTTATGGAAATATAATGTTTTCATTTACTTGTATGTTTATATAATTATGTGTCATTTAGCAGTAAAACCAGACAGGTGAATAACCAACTATTTAGATTTAATAATATAAATTAATATCATTTACACATTAAAATACATATTTATATGTTTAGATGCAGTTCTTTTTGAAATTAAAAACTTTAATAGAAATCTATTGAAATTATATTTTAAACCCTTGATAAATGATGTCAACTAGATTTCTCAGTGCTTTTTTGTGTTTTTTAATTTTCATATTCATGCGATTTTGTGAGTCTTATGACTCTCAATATTTAATTGATATACTTAGAAATAAGTGGCTTCCCTCAAGTAGAGGTGATTTGTGTGAGTTCAGAGCTCTAGAGGATGAACTGGTGATAGCAATGGAAGTAGAATAAAACATTGTTAGGAAGTATTGAGGATGAGAGACAATACTTGCTGACGTCTCAGTGCCT